CTGCACGAGCACTGTTTTACCAGTGCCTTCCCTTAGCATCTGCCGTGTTTGTAAATGAGCAGCGAGGCTGTAGCTGCATGGGCAGTAGGAAAAGCAGCTGCAGATGCATAGAAGTGCCAATGCAACATTACAGCTGCAGTCAATTTTCAGTTTCAAAGCATCAGTGTTGGTACTGCCTTTGGGTTGCAAACACTGCTGTCTACAAACTTAAATGTTGTTATAAACAAAGAAAAATAGCCAATTTTTTTTGTTTTTACTGCTGCCAGCTGCAGTAGCTAGAGCAGCTGTGGGGTGGCTGGGTTTGCATTCTCTGTCTTCTAATGTTTCTCTTCTAGAGACTGGTTCGGGGCTCTCCAAGAACATGTACTGAGTTGACCTTGATGTTACAAAGTCAGCACATAAATGTTGTTTCATATGGAAATTAATAGGTGTTTTTCAAACCTTGCTTTAATTGCGAAGATCACAACCTGTGGTAAGATGAGCCTTTTGAGCCTAGGATCTGCCATGCTTGGAAATGGTGAGCATTCCCTTTAATACATGCTTCTCTGGAAGATAAGCAGCTCCCACAGTATAGCTGGTTGATCGTGCCATGCCATTTTGCAGAAAACCTTTTCAGCTATTGGTGTGTTTTATCCTTCCTGGGACAGGGAGTGAGAGTCCTAACCCTTTTTTCCCCAGTAACAGTATGCTCCTCCGAGATGACGCTGCAGCGTGCTCTGCCCCAGCTGGAGCAGCTCATCAGGCGGTACCGTAGGTGCTTCTGTGCCGTGGAAATGTCAGTCCTGGCTCAGAGCTACCCTTTGGTATTTGCTCTGGAAAAAGGATCTGGTATTTCTGCATCAACCTAGGAATTGGACTGGATACAATTGAAAAAAATAGTGTAAGGTACAGACTGATGCAGATTGAGGGCTAACAGAAAAATGAGCACTAACAGAAAAATGAGCACTGAGCATGGTGATTATCACTTTTCAGTATTTGTGCCTGCTCCCTTGCCCCCCCATCCCCACTGTACGAGCACAGGCTGAAGTGGTGCAGGGAGGAGACTGGAGAGCCTGTCACCCTGCAGTTGTGGAGGTCTTGCAAGTGCTGCTCTACTAAATTAGCTGAGACAATCCAAATCATATATAAAGTATTTTTTTCCTCTTTATTTCTTGCTTTATTCCATATTGGTCATTCCTCCCTACAAACTTGGTGTTTGGTGTCAATCAAATCCTGGCCTGTTACTTTGGGTATCATCTTAGTCACACCTTTCTTTGCACAAGAACTGTCTGTGGTGGTGGCTTGTCTGCTTGCCTGTGCCCTTATGGCACAAATCGGTTGTGACTTTTTGTATTTGGCAAATCATATTCCCAGTATGGCTGTTGTTGAATAGAGAAAATTTAAGATATTAATGATAGCGGATGGATTAAAATACCAGCTGAGGATTCACTAGCCAGTCACATGGCTTTTGGTGACTGAGAAGAACCATGTGGCTCTGTCCCCTTGTGAGCTGAGTGTATCAACCCTAACATGTTGTTAATGCTAGGTCAGGCTTGGTCTCCTGTGTTCTCATCAAGACACTGAGATCTGACAGCTTGGTACTGTAAGGTATTAATGCCTTTGCATCATCAGTGCTCTGCTTGTGTGATCATCAAAATGCTACAGAGGAAGTCTGTTTAGTTTCTCCAGTCGTGGTGTGTGCACCAGCTACCACGTCATACTCAGAGCACTAATTCAGAGTGACATATTTAAGCACACAGCAAAGGTATTTTATCTTCGAAATAGCCATGTTCTTTATGTGCTGGTCACAATTTGTGTGTTGAAAAGCCCACTGAATGCCACTTTTACTAAAGATTTATTAGCATATGCCCGTTTCCTGAGCAACAGCCAGCCCTTACACACAGGAATACATAACTCAGCGTCGTATGGCAGCAGCTCCGGTGTGACCTGGTGGTAGGGCTTACCTAAGTGCAGGTGACTCCCCAACAGTCTGTGTGAGGTCAGCATTAATGGGCTTCTGTCTATAGGGGTGGCCAGGCACCCAGCTCCAGTCACCCCGTCACCCTGTTACTGCTCTTCTCTCCCTGAGAAGAGAGAGCTGGGCTCAGCTTGTGGTCCACACAGTCACTAGTCGCTGAAGTTGGACTGCTAGAGGAAATGGATGGGTTGTGCACAGGCAGATTGCTCAAAGCACCAGCAGAGCTCTTTTCTGAGAGTGGCTAACATCTGCCGTCATCCACAGCCCAGCTGTTGTTCTGTAACTGAAGTCTGATAGCTGATTTTGGAAAAATATACACTTTCACATCCACTCTGTTCCCTATTCTAGTCATCACTACTTTATGTTAGAAAGCTAAAACCTTTAAGTTTCTAGAAGCCTCACAAGAATTACAAGTGTTTAAAAAACATGAACAAAGGGTTTATTCATAATGCTGAGTATGCTTCAAGCTTGTCAAACTCTATGCAATATGCCTGTTAAGTGAACTATGCGTAAAAATCTCTAGCAGCTGTATGCTTTAACTTTCAAGCCAAATATCCTTTCCCTCCACAGCTCATTTGGACAAATACCTGCCATTTGACTGGGTGTAGCTGCCTCTGCTGTATGGTGCATTCATCACTATCTTTTGATGTTTGTTTTTCTGAGACTAATGATACTACTTCTCTACTTGCCTTGTGATCAAAGCCTGTCCTTGCTATAGGAGCTTAGACTAGTGAGAGTCCATTTAAGACTCATGGATGATTTTCCCGTCGTGCCACTGGCCAGCTGTAGAACAGCAGCATGTCCCTTACATTCCCTGCTTGCTGGGCCTCACCACAGCAACTGCTGCGAAGAGCAGAAACCTGCAGTAAGGACGCTGTGGTGGTGCAGCGGAGGGCAGCTGAGACAAGGTAGTATGGGGAGTGCCGAGACACTGGCCATGTGGAGAAGTGGGAACCTCTCCTCCTCTCCTTCCCCATCATCCTGTTCATTTTGTTAAAATGAAACCACTGCATTAAGCTGTTTCTGGTTCAGTGAAGGGGCATTTGCTATCCAAAGGCATACTATATTTGAGTTTTCTTTCAAATTAATCATAGAATGTCCTGAGTTGGAAGGGACCGATAAGGATCATCGAGTCCAGCTCCTGGCTCCACACAGGACCAGCTGAATCAGAGCATACGACTGAGAGCTTATCCAGACGCTTCTTGAACTCAGTCAAGCTCAGTGCTGTGACCTCTTCCCTGGGGAGCCTGTTCCAGTGCCCGACCACCCTCTCAGTGCGGAACCTTTTCCTGATATCCAACCTAAACCTCCTCCATCGCAGCTTCATGCCGTTCCCTCGGGTTCTGTCACTGGTCACCAGAGGGAGATCAGCGCCTGTCCCTTCGTTCCCCCTCGTGAGGAAGCTGTAGGCCACGATGAGGTCTCCCCTCAGTCTCCTCTTCCCTAGGCTGAACAAACCAAGGGACTTCAGCCTCTCCTCATACGTCTTCCCCCCTAGACCCTTCACCATCTTTGTTGCCCTCCTTTGGACACTCTCCAATAGTTTTATGTCCTTTTTGTACTGTGGTGCCCAAAATTGCACACAGTACTCGAGGTGAGGCCGCACCAGCGCAGTGTAGAGTGGGACAATCACTTCCCTAGACTGGCTAGCAGTGCCGTGCTTGATGCACCCCAGGATGCACCAATGCCTCTAACTCTCTCCTGATTTCCTATATGCATGATTATCCTAACATTCTTTTACAACATGCATCTTTCTTCTTGGGGCAGTGGCAAAAATAGTAACTTAGAGCAGTAGATAACTGTGTGACCGAGCAACCTAAGGTGCCCAGCATGGATGACGTGCATTATGTGGCTGTGGTGATATTGCTGCAATGTTGTGAGATGTCCCATGGACAGTGGCATTTGTACACCTTTTCTTTCTACCTCCTGCCTCGTGGACTGCTCTTTTAGTTGTCTTCCCAGAATTTATCATTGCGTCATTTTCCTGGAGAAAAACAGGGCTTCGCTGCCACTCCAGAATGGCAAAGTCCTTTTTAGCAGGACTCCAATATACATACTGCCTTCTTGGCGAAATCCTTGGTATTCGGACAGTCCTAGTCATGCTCAGGCCCTGAGAAGCCTGTGCGTGTACTCTGTAGTTGTTGAAATTCAAAGGAGACTCTGACATGATAAACCTGTGGGCATCAGGCGACACTCCTGTTGTGACAAATACACCACTGCACTGTAGCTAAGGTATGAATGGTTGAGAATGGCATCAGGCAGGTACAGACGCAATCATCGCTGTGTTCAAGAGCCCCCTCACAGCCTCTAGCCATGCGTGTTGGGTTTTTTGTTTGTTTTGGGTTTTTTCATTGTTGGGGGTCCTTTTTTTCCTAGAGTAGACCCTCTATGGGACATGTAGTAAATAACCATTGTCCCTCAGCATAATTACTTAAACTCTCCGGGAGACTTATTTTAAGCAGCTTAAGTGCTAAGTTTAACCACCTTAAAGACTTAAGGCTCTATCCATCCTAGACTACCTCTGAGGCCTCAGAATACTTTCTGCTCTGAAGTATGTCTCTAAACATTGATGCTTAAGGTTTTATTTCAAGGCTTTCCAAATCAGGGCTGCACTGGCAGCACACGAGCACCTTCCACCAACAACGCACCACTGAACCTTGTTTACTGGCTGACGCAAAGTCACCAGTAAGAAATTCTAGAGCATTGAATTTATGTTCTCTATGGTAGTAAATGGAACGCACCACTGAACCTTGTTTACTGGCTGACACAAAGTCACCAGTAAGAAATTCTAGAGCATCGAATTTATGTTCTTTATGGTAGTAAATGCACTGCGTCCAAGTGGTTCTGAATGCATGCTATTGAGAGCAAGATGAATTGAAGCAACTGCCAGATTAGCACCAACTCCTTTTCACATTGCTCATGGGGAGTAAACAGTATCAACACTCGTTTGGCTCAGCAGCAATGGTGCCAAAGCTGCAGCCACGTTGGCTGACTGTGCTGCTTTCTTGGGGGGAGCTGACAGTTTGACTCGCTCTATCCACAGCTCATCAGTGATGGCAGTGTGGTGTATGCAGAAGCCCTCTGGGACCATGTCACGATGGATGACCAAGAGCTGGGATTCAAGGCTGGCGATGTCATTGAAGTAATGGACGCCACCAACAAGGAGTGGTGGTGGGGGAGGATTCTGGACAGTGAAGGCTGGTTTCCAGCCAGCTTTGTACGGGTAAGAGCTTGATGTTTCTTTATGCCTCTCCATTAGCACCAAGTGTTTGTTCTTTTTCTCCAAGTTTAGTGTTCTGTAGTGACTCCTGAGCACTTTCACTGCTAGAGATAGCTGGTTCAATGTGTCTTGTTACTATTCCTCTACACATGGCTACGGTACATCAGGCCCTCCTGGCTGAGTTGCCACTGGTGTGGAGAAGTCCCTCTTTACATGAGTAAATCAGGGCAAGGGTGGTTCAGTTCCAGACTCTGGAGCTAAGCTGAGCTGTGCCAGCTGGGCAGCTGCCCTGCATGGTGATTTGCAGCCTGGGCTCCTGCTTACCCATATATTAACTAGTTTATGCCCAAGCACGCAGCATCCCCTTCAGGAACAAGCAACAAATACTCGCCTAGAGGAATCCCAGGTGCAGCTGGCAGAGGTTTTCACTGTAGTATCCACTTTGGACAGTGTGGATGACCACGGCACCAAATACAGCTTTCTCCATCTGGAGCTGGGTGCAGTGCAATGCCACGTCCCAAAGTATGCAACCACCTGACTCACGCACACGCTTTCCCTTAGCCCTGGAGTTTTAAAAACAGGCTACGACCCAGCACTATATTCCAGGGATTTAAAAATGGATGAGAAAACCACAAAAAAATGTCTTGGTGGTCATGTGGGACGACTGAGGAGGGGGAGATATGAAATGCTAATGCTTGTGGGCCAAGGCTCTCCCCCGGTGCCAGCTACAAAGACCATACAGAAATAGCTATATAGAACAGTCCAGATAGTCCCAGCTGCGTACTGCAGAGGTTGGATTGATTTCCACCAGAGCATTCTGAAACGCATCTGAATTCTCTGTGCAAGTAGGGGGTAAAACAAGAGTCTGGGTAACTGCTGTGCACTCCTTCCTGCTGTGAGGAGAAAGGCTTTTTTCCTTTCTTTGGGCCGTGGATGCCTGACTCTGCTTTCACCATTTCAGGGCAGGCTCCTCAGTACTGCAAAGGCAATTAGGTGCCTCAGGGCAGAGGTTCTCAGCCCTTTAGCTCTTTATCCGGGTCACTTCAGATCACAAGTGACCCAAAACCAGGTGAAGCATGAAAGGAGGTGATGTGAGGTGATCTGGTGTCTGTAGCAAAAGTCCTTGGAGAAGTGGGGCAGACAGTGCTATAAAAGTTTTGAAATGCTTTGTTATAGATTGCAGGAGACAGTCTCAGCTGGATAACTATTACAAACAGTGGATGTTTTCCCAAGTAGGATTACTAGGACCAAGCTCTCAGTGCTGGTGGGGATGGAACTGCTTTTTTTGCAGTCAAAACACAGGCCTTTTTTTCTTTCACGTTACTGATAAGTTGTTGCCCTGGCTGGCAAAAACCAGCAACAGTATTTCAGGGGAAAGCAGACTAATGCTAGCCATTAGGGATGCAGAGTAACAAGTTCTTTTAGCAGAGTAATTACAACAGTTACTCAAACATCTGAGTGAAGATTTCTGGCTAATTATCACTGGGTCTCCAGCTTACTGCTGGGAGAGCTGGTATGTTTGGGGACTTGGATAAATCTGCAGGTGTCTCAGTTACTCCACACAAGTTTCGGGCCAAGGTCTGAGTTTAAGACTAGTCAATGGTGTTCTGCTCAAAGTGAAGGAAAACCAAGACTGCACATCTTGAGGGCTTCACCAGCTGTAAACAGTGAGTAAATGTAATCTATGCTTATGTTGACAAGGGATGGCTATGCACTGTTTGTATATGTAGATATACGTGCATCAAGCGGTAAGTAAGCCTGACTAGAAGAAACTACATTAAAAGTTTAAAACAGTTCTGTGTCATTGTACTAAAAATGCCTATAGTTACATGTGTTCCTAATTCAGTGTTTTTCACTTCTCTGTGCTGTGTACAAAATATCCCCATGGGCACTCTAAGAGCTCCAATACTACTACATAAAATAAAGTTTATAAGTGAAATGCACAGATAATTGCCTGCTAGTAACTAAGGTACTTTGCTGTTGTTGACAGTATACTTACTAGGACAGAGTGCCTACAAAACGGTGGTGTTTTTCTCTGCTCATGCTGTGCTGCCATCTGATGGGCGCTATGAAGGAACCAGGAGTTTCACATGCAGCCCTGTAACGTAATGCCATTCCTTACCACATTGTATGTCCACTGGCATCTGTATCTGCTTTTATATTAACAATAAATTCTCTTTAAATAATCTTGGGGAAGCAGACACTGAGAGGCCATCTGTTATTTATAGTATGAGAACAACAGTAAAGCTATACAAAAAAAGCAAGTGTTTACTGGTTTCCTCCCTCCTTCCCTAAGCACCCCCTCACAAGTACCTAAGCAGATTTCATTTGATAAACCATGTCCTGTCCTGATTTTGTATGTATTCTTCCCGGACAACTCTCTATCATTCCTGTGAGTTCTGTCCACAAGAGATGCCTGCTAAAAACCACCCATGTCACACAGCAGGAGCAGCTGCCATGTGGCTTGAAAGCACCCTCCCAAACTGACTATCTGGCCTTAGCTTCCCCAAGGGGAAAATATGTTTACAGGTAATACACACGTAGCAGTCCTCTTCACTCCTTAGCCTAGCTCAGTCTTGTCTGCCATTCAATCAACTGTCCCAAACTTCTTTTCCTTGGAAGAGTTGTTTTTAGCAATACAAATGGTGAACATCTTGTGTGTCTGGCACAGCTCCGAGTAAACCAGGATGAACCCATGGAAGATTATCCCCTGAAGGTAGAGGGTGGCAAAGAGGACGACTCCAGCAGTGGCACCCGCCGCTTTGGGATGGGGCAGACCACCAAAGATCAAATGAGAACCAACGTCATCAATGAGATCATAAGCACGGAGAGAGACTACATCAAGCATCTGAAGGATATTTGTGAGGTAACGGAATAAAGGGGAAGTGAATGCAAGAACTTGTCTGAAGGCTGATAGAGTGTGTCCCATTCTTGCCCAGAGAGTGACCCTAAGCAGGTAACTTTTCTTTTCTGAAAATGAGACTGTATTTCCGTCAGAGCCTGCTCTGCCAAGTGGTGTTGCATGCTCAGAAAACAGAAGACAATTCATTACAGCAATATCCCCAGTGCCTCTGTATTTGGAGCACCCACTTGGGCTCTGATTAAATGGAATTAATAGAATTTCCCAAGCTAGAGACAAGTAAATGTCTAGCATTACTGTCCTCTTTAATGTATGTTCTGAAGTAATATAATCAGCAACTCCAGCCTTCAGGCAAGTCATGCTCAGATCAAAACAACTGGGGGATGTTCAGCCAATTAGGTCTTTTACTTGCAAATATGCTGAGTATTGCAACACCTCTTCCAGAAGAGACATGCTGTCATCTGCACCGGGGTAAAGGAAGGTAATTGGTAAGAGTTTTGCAGGAACATAGTTGTTCCCTGAAATGACAGAAAAATTTCTTCTGCCGCCTTCCAGGAGAGCCAGCTGGGGCCCAGCAGCGCACACTTAGCAAACAAGCCTTTCCTCCTGCAGTGTCCCCCCACATTCTTTGTGCCCTCCTTCTCGCTTGAGTCAGCCAGGCACTTCCCAACCAGATCCGCAACTGGATTTAATTGGTCTAAATCTGTCAGTGCTGGGGTCAGAACACCCTGTAGCCTGCAGACAACGGTGTCTTTAATGGGAAACAGCACCTCTGGGACTCCTTCACGTGGGGATTACAAGTATCATTAAGTTACAGTTTAAGGCAGTGATGTAACTGTGGCTTGGATTCTACTTCTGCCATGGTTTGGGTGGTATTAGAGGAAATAATAGCTAAAACATGGATGCCTCTATGCAGGAAGGGGGTACAGGAACCTGGTGTACAACTGACTACAGCCCGTGGGGTTTTCTGTTGATAATCAAAGGCCAGAGAGCAAATGCCCAGGACGCTTTCCAATTTGGTTTCCTCCTAGGGTTACATTAAGCAGTGCCGCAAAAGAGCTGACATGTTTACAGAAGAGCAGCTGAAGACAATCTTTGGGAATATTGAGGACATCTACAGGTGCCAGAAGAAATTTGTTAAAGCACTAGAGAAGAAATTCAACAAAGACCACCCACATTTGAGTGAGGTTGGCTCATGCTTCTTGGAATATGTAAGTGAATTTGACTTCACGGGAAGGGGGTAGCTGAGCATGGGTTAAGCCAGAGGATTTAGAAATTGATCTGACAGAATTGAAGCTCTGTTTAAAAAACCTCACCCCACCAAATTAAACACCACTACCCCCCTCCCTCCCCATTACCGACCTCTCAAACATCCTCTAGCTCTTGTGGCTGTGGAAAGAACATTTTCTAAGTGCCTCAGCTTCTGAGCACTCTACTCCCTGCCAGACCATGCTACCTCAGGCAAAAACGTAGGAAGATTCCAAAATCTCAAGCTGGACCTGAGTTTAACAGCTATAGTATTTTCAGGTCAGTGCAGGATCAGCAACTGCTGATCTGGTCACTAAAAACATTCAGCTGAGACAGCCAGAATACATGGAAATGTCTCGATCTCCCAGATAAGCTGTAACCTGTAATATACCCTGCCCGCTCCCAGCTTTAGGTCTGTGGGCTTCAAAGTCTGGAGAGGACACAAATTACCAAACAGCCCCACGTGATACAGGAGCAGGACCAACACAGGGAACTCACACAGCAGCTGGAGCCAGGCCATCACCGTAAAGAACAGAGATAGTAAATACCTTCATTTCCCTTGCAGCAAACGGAGTTTCAGATATACTCTGAATACTGCAACAACCACCCCAATGCCTGCATGGAGCTGTCCCGCCTCACCAAAGTTAACAAATATGTCTACTTCTTCGAAGCCTGCCGCCTGCTGCAGAAGATGATAGACATCTCTCTCGATGGGTTTCTGCTGACTCCCGTGCAGAAAATCTGCAAATATCCACTGCAACTGGCTGAACTGCTCAAATACACCAACCCCCAACACAGGTAGGTCAGCGGGGAGGGGAGGAACGAGACTGTTCTCATGGAAAAGGACTTATGCAGAATCGTGTGTTGAAGGCTGCTTGCCAAAAGCAGCCAATACCACAATTATTCTGTTACCCTGTAGAAATCAGGAAAAAAAAAAAAGTATTTTTCTATCAAATATGTAATTTTCCATTATATTCCTGTCTGTAACAGACCTGGAGTTGCAAGGTCCACCTTATAATGGTACTTTTCTATTTTATTTGGTCCATGCATCTGTGATACCAGCACATACATAACTTCAGAGTTAAATGTTTCTGGTGGTCATAGTGTTGAAAACTTTTCTCCAAAAGCAGTGGTTGAATATACCCCAAATGTCCATGTAACTACACCATGGCACATACTGGCCGAGTAGTAGTCATGGACTTTGTCCAGTGCTTTCCCAGTGGGAAGTCATGGCCTACAGCAGTCAAGCCATGCACTCGCGGTGCCTCTTCACCACTAGCTCAAAAGCCTCCAGATCCCTTGGTCCATTTCAGGGTGAAGGCACTGCCCTCAACTCAAATAACTGTGTCACTTAATCAAGCATCTGAAATAATTAGCTACAGAAATAAAACACAAAAAAATCTATATTAAAGTGTTTATATTGGTCCACTATGGCTTGACTTAATTTCACCTTCCTAATTACAGCACTGCTATTTCTCAGAATGGTTTTAAGCATGTCTTATTAACTCTGTAAGCATGTTGTTCTGAAGCTGATCTCTTAAACAGAAAGCTCCTTAATGCAGTGCACAGACGTTTTGAAAATTGTGTTAGAGAGACAAGTTGTGCGGAACAGCTGCTTCCCAGCTACTCCAAGCTCTGCAGGAGTAGCTGATGGGAGCAGGTGGTGTATGGAGGGGGCTTGATCAGCTTCTGTCCTACCCTTCCAGATAAACCATCGGCTCCTATTTGAAATGAAGCCTGCTAACGCTGAACTGCCTTGCCTATGCATGACAGTATCAGTCCCTGTAGGAAAAAAGGGGAATTATGAATACATAATATTGTATTTATACCTCTGTGGCTGAATTTAATTGCTTACCCCCCTCCTCCCCACCCCCCCCCAAATTTGGCTTGGATTTGTTACAAGACTATAATCTGTGCCTCAAAACTAGCAAGTGTCTGAAAAGCTGCCCACAGAAACATGTACCTCCAAGTTCCAGTATAAAACAGCTGGGATAACTGCAACTGGAACTCAGGTTTTCTGCTCGGCAGCCCTAGGCCATACTGGACTGTACTCCTTGGAGTGTAGGTACAACAAGCACGTGTCATTTTCTCATGCCTAACACCTCTGCCCTACCTTAGGGATTTTAAAGATGTCGAAGCGGCCTTAAATGCCATGAAGAACGTTGCTCGGCTCATCAATGAGAGAAAGCGGCGGCTGGAGAACATTGACAAAATTGCTCAGTGGCAGAGTTCAATAGAAGACTGGGAGGTAAGAAACTTAGATGCTCCATGAACTGTGTTGCCCCTCTTCCTCCAACAGCTTCTGCCTAGAGTAAAATCTTCATAAGGATTCCTATCTAGCCCTACCTCAGTTCTGCTGCCCCTCGCTGTGTGTGGTTTTTGGTGGGATTTTTGGGTTTTGTTTTTTTTTTTAAATTTAAACAGATGTGATCTTTTAGTACAACTGAAAAGGTCTAGCACACAACCCAGCTATACCAGCTGCCTCTGCATCTTCCCTGGGATTTTTGCTTCCCCATTTTCCTTGCAGAATAAAATTAGCATGTAGGTTGGTGAAATCCTATTATTTTCCTCTTGGACCCCATTTTATCTTGAGTGATTTCAAACTCTCAAGATGGGCAGAATTGCCCCTTAATGCTTAAGAAGCCACATTATTCTTGTAGAAAGGCAAGCTCTGATACAGCAAAGAGGAAGCCAAGGTTCCCTGTAGACTAAGTAAAAAAAAAAAAAAATTGCTAAATAAAAGAAAAGACGACTACTGATTTTCTAAATCCTGGACTCAATAAATCCAGACGGTCTCCCTCCCCAAGGATGTCAGACTAAATTCTCAGCTCTCTGCTTATGTGCTTCCTTTAATGTCAAGGATGGAGCAGCTGCCCTGAGCAGACTCCCTGGAAAAGGAGAATTTTTCATTTAACACACTATTGTTCTTATCAAATTCAGTTCCCATTCCCTGGGTGCTAAGGGCACAGTGTCTCCCTGCTGTGACAAGGAGTGTCCTCCAGCACTGAGGCTCCCTCTCATTCTCAGAGGAGAGTTTCATCAGCATTTTTTTTTGTCGTGGTTTAACCTGGCGGTGGCAGCTAAAACAACTGCACAGCCCTTCAGCTCGCTCCCCGCCCCTCCTCAGTGGGACCAGGGGAGAATCGAAAAGGAAAAAAAAAAAAGTAAGACTTGTGGGTTGAAACAAAGACAGTTTAATAGGACATGAAAGGAATAATAATAGTAATAATGATGACAACAATGACAGAATATGCAAACCAAGTGATGCACAGCACAATTGCTCACCACTCGGAGCCAATGCCCAGCTAGTTCCCGAGCTGCTCCGCCTCCTGGCCAATCCCCAGTTATATACGGAGCATGACATCATATGGTATGGAATATCCCTTTGGCCAGTTGGGGTCAGCTGTCCCGGCTGTGTCCCCTCCCAGCTTCTTGGGGGCTCCCTGCCTTCTCGTTGGCAGGGCAGTATGAGAAGCTGGGAAGTCCTTGACTGCTGGGCAGCAACTAAAAACATCAGTGTGTTATCAACATTATTCTCATCCTAAATCCAAAACACAGCACTAACCAGCTTCTAGGAAGAAAATTAACCCTATCTCTGCCGAAATCAGGACAAGGCCCCACAGCCACACAGGCCCCTCAGCCAAGTTAAGGTTCTCTGAGGCTACAGGCTTACTTCTTCTCCCTCGTTTTCAGATGGCCGAGACCAATCTGTTCTTTGTGCTGTTCTCAGGGTGAAGATGTCCTAGTCAGAAGCTCAGAACTCATCTATTCTGGGGAATTAGCCAAAATCTCCCACCCTCAAGCCAAGAGCCAACAGAGGATGTTCTTCCTCTTCGATCACCAGCTTATCTGCTGCAAGAAGGTAACCTCACCAGCCAGGCACAAATGCAATGCTAAAGAATTTAAGTGAACTCCCTCTCTACCTCTTTGTTTGCTTAATACTCACTGGAATCATACCTACTTCTGGCACAGAGATTATTTTTTTTTATATGTGTTCATTGCAGTGTTTTCTCTGATGTCCTGGTGGGTTCTGTGCACCTGAGCACAGCAATAAGCTACAGGAACTAACTACTGGCCTAATTCTTACAGCACTGCACTGCTTCTAGGCTTGGTGTATGGATTTATTTTACGCAACTCAAATATGAGCACTGTCACCCATTTTTCCTTTAAATATGGTTTGTTTGTTTTTTTCACCTGCACTGCCATGTGAGATTAATACAGTAGTCAGAAGGTAACTGCAGCATTGATGAAGAGCTGTGGGCCTTGACAGTCAATAGGACAATATTAACATCATATGCATGTCTGTAAGTACAGCCCATGCTATTTCTCATAACCTAAGTAATAAAAGAAATAATCCTTCAAAGAGCAAGTGAAAAGGTATCTTCTATTGGGATTTTAGAACTGAACATGCCAAATTTTTTTTTTGCATAATCCATGGCATACTGGTAGCTCCAGGTAACTTAGGCATGAGACCCTCACTGTTTTATCACTGCTCTCAAAGTTACTTGTCAACACAAAAAAACCAAAAGCCAGTTAGGATATTTTTGGCTTTCTAATTGGGACCATAGGATTCAAGCATTATTTTCTGACACTGGCTTAACAAGGCTTTGGGATCACGTGCAATAACAAGATTGCTTCTCATTCAGAGCAGCTGATATCCCACAATGGTCAATGCCAGCCTATCCTGACCCCACCATTAGAAGAAACCATGCAATTCCCCTTACTGCCAACAGTGTCAACAGGAGCTCAGTGCTCTGCAATTCCATAGATTCAAATCCAGTATACATGTTTTCTTACAGGACTGTAATGGTTGCCAAGAAGATTAAATACTCCATCATATCAAAGAAAATGAATGTTTAAGGAAGGGACAGAACAGGAAACAGTAACATCTATATGAGTCTGTGTAATCTCTCTTACAGGACCTTCTGCGTCGGGACATCTTGTATTATAAGAGTCGGATCAACATGGATGATATGGAAATATTGGATATAGACGATGGGAAGGACAAGGACTTCAATATCAGCGTGAAAAATGCATTTAAATTGCACTGCCGAGACACTGAGGAAGTCCACTTATTTTGTGCAAAAAAGCCTGAGCAGAAACAGCGCTGGCTGAAGGCATTTGAGAATGAAAGGAGACAGGTTCAGCTTGACCAGGAGACAGGTATGGAAAGAATGATGCTGTGAGGCATAAGGTTTTTTGCTTTATTGTGTTGTTTTGGGTTTTATTCCCCCCTTCTTTTTTTAACCACCAGTCACTGCATAGGAGTGAAAGGGGGAAGCCAATCCATGCTTCAGTCCAGCCCTGGGCTGCTGAATTGCATATTCTGAATTAATCTGTGCAATTGAAAAAAAAAAACCAAACAAACCACCCTGAGCCAACACTGCAGTATGTCCTCAGGAAGGCTGATGTGTCTTTAATGAGTTCAGACAGGGCTGATAAACTAGTCAATACATTACACATACAGCTTCCGTTATTTTGCAGTACAGTGTGAGTGCCCAGTTTGGCTGTATCTATACAAAACACGTTCAGTCAAGGGTTTTCATTGCGAGAGAGGATTTTCATTGTTCTGTCCAAATCCTGCTTAAGTCAAGTCAGACACATGATCTAATGAGATTTGAACCACAACTGGTCTGGAGCAAAGTGTGGGGGAAAGGGCAGGCAGTAAACCTTGTATGACAGGTAGGAAGGAGTTGTGCAGCACAGGCTGGGGGAAGCGGTATGTGCCCCTTGCAGCTTTGGGAGTAATTTCAGCTTGTGACCCCTTACCTCAGGCATTTTCCTACCCCTCTATTTCCCTTACTGTCCATGCCGGTGCCTTCCCATGACATACAAAATGACAACCTGCTGCTGACAAACTGTTTTATCTTCAAGGTTTTTCAATCACAGAGGTGCAGAAAAAGCAGGCGATGCTGAATGCCAGCAAGCAGCACCATACTGGGAAGCCTAAGGGTGAGTTGCACCTGCACCTATAAATGCTGCTAGAACTAGGCGGGGGGGTTTCTACACTTACTATGTAGGAATAGTTTCAATGAAGTGGCATTAACAAACTCTTGAGAAGACCAAATGGTGAGCTGTCATGTGACAATCTGCAGTATAGTTCCTGGCAGATTCAGGCCACTGGAGTCAGGAAACTATTCCTAACTACAGGAGAGCTGCTTTGCACCCAATTGCTGAGCACTGTGCCAGAAACCACAACTACACACAAGCAGGCAGCTTCTACTCAAAGGCTAGTTCACAGCCTTGCCCTGGAGCCAGGTTCTCCAAGCAGTAGGGCCTTCCCTTTATGAAAAGACAAGATTAGATTAAGTTTTGTGGTAATCCTTGTGATGCAAAGATGGTCATAAAGGTCCCTGCAGTGTGTGTGGGGGTCTACGCCTGCCTGGGCAGTTGTGCCTGTGGAAGATACTTTGAAACCTGTGATTTTTGGCAGAATAGTGTGGGTAGGTACCATGCTCAGCGACAGAGCTGTTTCTTAAAACCTTAAGAGACAAGGAAGATTTAGCAGCAGCCAGGGGAATGTGAACTCAAGCAACAGAAAGGAAGGTTCCTGTGCCTGTGGCACTCTCAGCTGAAGATTCTTGCTATCCCATTTTGTGATGCCACCACCCCTCTTCATAGTCAGAGGAAGGGATGTCACTTGCTTTCCTCTGGACCTGCAGAGAGGCAACCACTTGCTCACACTTCTGGAACTCCCACAGCGCCAACTCTGATCCTAAAAAGCAGTGCTGAAACTGAGGGTAATACTAAGACAAACCCAATTTACCCCCTTGCAGCTTTAACAGGGACTGGGCAAGGGAGCTGCTCTCAACTAACATGCTTCCCCATCTCCTTCTCATCACAGCTGTCACCAGGCCATACTATGACTTTCTGATGCGTCAGAAGCATCCCACCCTGCCTACTACGCTCCCTCAGCAGCAGGTCTTCATGCTGGCAGAGCCCAAGCGCAAGCCCTCGAACTTCTGGCAGAACATCAGCAGGCTGACGCCTTTCCGGAAATAAGGGCAGCCCCATGTTTGTGCCTGAACCCCTTCTGAGAAAGCACTTTATCTGTCAGTCCTGGGAGGTGGAGCCCAGGTTCTTCCAATCCTTTGTTTACAGAGGATGGCACATGTGCTCCTGCCTTCCCTATTTATTTCACAGACTGACTGACCGCATTGCTTCTGAGGTGAGACACTGTGTGTGTGTGTGCTTGCACACACATGTGCATTTGTGCCAGTCCCATGGAACCAGCCTTGCACAGCACCCCAGAGGCAAACTTCCAGAAAGAGATCACAAGAGGGAACCCAACATGTTTCATCTGAAAAGATTTTGCATGTCAGCTGTACTTTGACTCTCTCCTTCCCGCTGTGACCACTACTGCTACCTGGCAGCTGTCAGGGGATAGCAGCTGATCCACCTGCCAGCTCCGTGGCTGCTGACATGCTCAGAACAGTGCAGTCACTGACATGATACATTTTCCAGGGGGAGTTTTTGTAACCCCTTCTGCTCTCTGCCCACCCCACGCCCCACGTTGCTCAAAGACATGATCCTCCTACACCCGTCTAACTAATTCAGTTAGCCTTTGCAGGCACTCAGACAACAGTGAGTATTGCACTGTGACTTTTTTTCTTTCCTTTAGTTCAACACCACTGAAGAACTATATAGTACGTTAAACTGTGCCAATCAACCTGCAGCATGAGTAAAGTTAAAAAACAAACAAAAAAAAGCTCTCTAGTGGGTTTGAGTTACTTAAGTTAGTGAAAAATGTGCCTAATTAATACCGTACTTAACTCCTTAGATTCTCGTCTCTCCATCATTCTGCCATATTTCCTGGCCAATGAAAATGCTCATTGTTTGTAATGTGTTTATTTATGGTAAAAAATCAGAACTGTGTATTTTGTAAGTCTGTAATTGTTCTTGTCAGATGTTGTTAACTTGATGCCTGTTTTGTCTGTTTTATGATTTTTCTTTTTTTTTTAAGAAAGGTCAATATTTGCAAACCTAGCTCCCAGAAGTCAGAGTCTAGAGTTCAACTCTGAAAGCCTAAAACCGTGGTTGTTATGCAAATTCCCACAGACTCTCAATTCAAGGGGTATTACTACAGGTTTTTGACACCTTTAATAAAAAAATTAAAAATAAAAAAAAAAAAAAGAAAGCCACTTTAATAAGGCCTAAATTTGGCATTAAGAGCCTCACTTTAAGTACCCAAGTTTTAAACTGTGGCCAAAAAGAATTAATTAAAACTTTGGTTAGCAAAACCGAAAGATTTGCCTTACCATAGCAGCGTTAGAAGCCATACTGACTGAATTCCCTAGCTTAGGGGATCCCGTGACAGCGGAAGGAAGGCACTCACGCATTCCAACACCCTGCGAGTGGAGGGAGCACTAACTGTCTGCAGAGCTCAGAGTCCGGTGTTTGTTGATGCTGTAGCTGACCAAAGGCTGGTCATCCAGGGATATCTGAATTCAGTAGCATGTACAAAGTCATTCTTGCACTATATCTCCCCCCACCCCCCCCAACCAGGGGCAACATTTAATTTCATAAAGAAACTTATAAAAGTGACTCTCAGCCTGTGTTTGTCTCCAACATGTCTATCTTTGTGAACTTGTTTCTCTTCAAAGCCACTGCAGAGATTCTGCTCTTGCAGCTTAGTAAGTGACAGGCTCATCACTAGAAGCCACACTAGAAAGTTACCCTCAACAAAGCCATCCTTCAGATGGAAGACTAGTGCAGCACAGACGCTAGTGGAGGTGTGCTGGTCACTTAGAACACAGATCAAGGCTAGCAAGTCACCAGCTCCCACCTCCCAGCTAGTTACTTACATGGAAAGCACACCTAGGAAACATCAAAAAAGCCTTCAGGGGATGCTCAAGTCCACTTAGAGCACTATGGAATTAGAGCAACAGCAACCACCAAGAACTAAGAAAGATACTTGATAGAAGGCTCAGTTGCTCCTCCTAGGATCTGCCCACCTGCACAAACTGCACCCTGCTCCCCTGCCTTTCTTCCTGGGAAAATGCTACAGGGAGTGGTGTCATAACCCAAACACACACACCCCCTCCCCCCCAATTTCCTTCATGCAAAAGCACAAGAGGTATCTGTCCATGGAAGGTTTCAGCTCCCCCCCAGTCACCTCCCAGCAATAGCGGAAAGTGAGGCTTACTGCAGAACTGTGAGATGCTGACTGCCTCACAGTGACCTGACCCAGCACACGCAGTTACAACGCTGGCATTTGTCAAAAAACAAACCCCCTCCCCCCGCCCCAACCCAAACCCTCTAATGGCATGCAGCAGTTGGGAAAACAAGCCAGTGGGACATTGCAGAAACAGCCTTTAAACACTGCACAAACAGGTATGGTTCACTAAAACTGGGAGGGGAGAAAAACAACCAACCACCACCAAAAAAATTAATAATCAGCCCTCATCTGTGCATTACAGCTGCATTACCAGCCTTACAGTGCCCAGCCTTGCCCATCCTTTAAAAAAAAAACAACAAAAAAAAAACCCACAA